GGGCAGTGGAAATAGTATGGAAGCAGATTTGATTAAAAGATTAGGGGAAACCTAACAGTAAGAATTGTTCAGGAGTAGAGCAGGAATTAGTGGGATTCCCATGCCCTTGAGATACTTCAGTAGAGGTCAGACAGCCAGAGAGCAGTGATGCTGTAGCACTGAAGGCCTGCCTTGAGCAGAGAGGGGGACCTGCTGATCTTCAAGGTTTCTTCTAACTCTGCGATTCTACACTTGACCAGAACCATTAAGGCAAGATCAAAGCAATTGATTTGAGTGGCAACTGCATAGGGTTAGATATATGTTGGGTCTGAGGGAGGAATATCCCCACATACAGTTTCAGGCAGGCAGTAGAGCAGGTTCATAGAATCACAGAATCATAGGATAGCAGAATTGGAAGGGGCCAGGGGGCCATTGTGTTCAACTCCTGCTCAGTGCAGGACTCCATGTTTCACCATCCCTCTCAGATGACTGTCCAGTTGCATCTTGAATTCCTCCAACATGGGAGAGCACAGCACCTCCTTAGGTCATTGGTTCTATTGTTATACTGCTCTAACAGTCAGGAAATTCTTCCTGATGTTCAGCCAGAACCTGGCTTCCAGTAACCTGAGCCCATTATTCCATGTCCTGTACTTTTGGATAATTGAGAAAAAATCCTGTTCTTCCTCTTTGTGACAGCCTTTCAAGTACTTGTAGAGTGCTATCATCTCTCCTCTCCTCTCCTAAGTCAAACATGCCCATTTCTCTCAGTCTGTCCTCATAGGGCTTTGTTTTCAGTTCCTGGATCATCCTTGTTGCCCTCCTCTTGAACTCTTTCTATGTTGGCTTCTAATAATCACTGCATTGTTTTGTAGACTTACTGCTTTATAATCTACTCCTAAATTTTCCCAGGGATTAATGTCAGACTAAATGATTTTGTAGTTCACAGGTTCTTCTTTTTTCCTATCTTGCAGATAGGGACAACATTAGCTTTTCTCCAGTCATCTGGCACATCCCCATCTTCTATGATTTCTTAAAGATAACAGACATTGGTACTGAGAGTTCTTCTGGCAGCTCCTTTCTGACTCTGGGATGGAGTTCATTGGGCACTGGAGATATGAACTCATTCAACCCAAGTAGATGATCCCTGACTATTTGCCTGTCAGTCCTGAGCTTCCATCCTGCTCCTTCAGCTTGTACTTCTTTCTCATCAGGAAGATCAACCCTTTTTTGGGGAGGAGACTGAGTCAACATAGGAATTGTCAGCTGTTATCATTTTGCCATCCACGTTGAGTAGTTGAGCCCCCATTTCTTTCCTTTTTTTTTTACTTTGGACATCTCTGAAGAAGGCTTTTTGGTTGCTTTTAGCATCTCTTGCTAGCCTCAGTTCATTCCTAGCTTTAGCCTTCCTGACACCATCCCTGAAATTCTGTGGTACCTGCCTTTTTTTCCTTTGTAGCCTGACTTTCCTTCCACTGTCTATTCATGTCCTTTTTTGTATTCAGATCATCTCTAAGGTTTTTGTGGGCTTCTTCTGTTGTCTTTTTCTTGGCAGAAATTCCCTTTTTCCTTGTGGGAATTGTTTATGATTGTGTCTTTAGAATTTCCCTTTTTTAAACAAAAATCCCACACAATTTGGATGCCGTTTCTCATGAGACTTGCTTTCTGTGAGGCTTTACTTATCATTGTTCTGAGTTTATTAAAATATGCTGTCCTACAATCCAGGACCCATGTTTGGCTACATTTGGCTTTCACTTTCTTTAGAGCAAAGAATTCAAGTATGGCATGGTAATTATCCCCAGAGTTCCCGTAGCTGCCACTTTGTCCACTAGTTCTTGGTTAGTATTGAATCAAAGATAGCTGTACATGTTGTTCCTACTTCTCTTTTCTGCTGGAGGAAGTTAATCAGCAACACATGTTAGGAATTTCTTAGAGGAGCTGTGTTTGGCAGAATTTGTCCTCCAAGAGATATCGGGGAAATTGAAGTCCCCCATAACAATGACGACATGCTTCCTTGAAACACTGACAATTTGTTTTTCAGAAGTTTCACCTTTGTCTTCTCCTTGACTGGGTGGTTGGTAATAGACTCCAACCACTGCATTTCTTTTATTCTTTGCTCCATTTATATTAACCCAGATGATCTCGGTGGGGCTACTAAGCTCATCCTCCTGTATTTCTCTGTAGAGATATGTGTCTTTTACATAATAGTGTGACTCCATCTCCCTTCATGTTCCTTCTGTTCTTCTTGAACCAGTTAATCTTTCAATTGTTGAATTCCAGTTATGGGAGTCATCCCACCAAATTTCAGTTATATTTATTAGGTCGTCTCCATCTCCTGTATTAAAAGTTCAAGTTCATGCAGTTTGTTTCTCATACTCTGAGAATTAGTATATAGATATCAATGTGTTTTATAATCTAGCTTCTTCATACATTTTTTGGAAAACTATTATTGCGCACTATTAGAACTGTTCTCTTGGTTGTGGCACATAAGCCTTCATTCGTTGTTATGCCCAGGTTTACTTCTCCGTTCCCTGTATGATTCAGTTTAAAGCCCTCCTGATAAACCTATTTATGATGTGGCGAAACACATTCTTTCCAGTCCTTGTAATGTGCAGCCCATCCCTTGCCAAATATCCATCTTCCAGGAAGTGTAACCCATGGTCCCCGTATCCAAATGTCTCATTTCGGCACCACCTTCATAGCCAGGCATTCACCCGGAGTATTTTTGTTTCCCTGTCTGTTCCTACTGATCAAGAACTGGAAAGACTGAAGAGAAAACTACATGGGCCCCAAAATTCTTGACTTTCTTTCCTAAAGCATCAGAGTCCTCTGTGATTTCTTCAAAGCTCCACTTGGTGTTGTCATTTGTTCCCACGTGTATAAGAAGGAAGGGATACATGTCAGTGGGCTGCATGAGTCTTGGCAGTCTTTGACTTACATCACTGATCTATCCTCCAGGGAGACAGCATAGCGGACTAGTCCACAAGTCTTCCTGACATACATGTGTTTCCACCCCATGTAACAGGGAGTCTCCTACAACTGACACTTTTCTCTTCTCGTGCTTGTCAGCCTTGGCATCATTGCTACTCCTTGGTTGACCTTTAGCCTCTTGTTCTTTGTTGCACAGGATGACGTGCGGTTCTTCCCCAGCAGGCTGCCTTCCAGTCTCATCCTTGAGTAACTGACAGTGGTTTGATGGTTCCACCGCTTCCATTGGTACAGAGGGTCCTCTAGTTCTTCTGCACCTCACTGCCCCCTTTTTCCAGGGAGCTTCCTCCTCAGTTCCCCTTCCCTCAGGGTTCTCTTCTGCTTCAGCTTGCTGTTGCACTTCTAGCTTCTGTACTACTCTCAGTTGCTGCAGTTCCACTACTCTGTCTAAAAAAACTCTTCATCTTTTATTACCTTGAGGGTGGACACTTGCTGCTCCAGTGCTCTCACCTTTTCCTCTAACAGGGCTACTAGCACTTTTTGCGCATGCAGATTGCTCAGTTTGCTTCCAGAAGGTCCTTCTGAGGGGAAGGAATGCTCTCAAAATAACTCTGGACTGACATCTCCTGAGTGTTGTTCTGGAAGCAGAATTAAATGCACTCACAAGAATTGCTACCAAATATCCCCTTGCTGTCTTATGTTAAAGAGTAGGCGTTCTTGAAACTTGTATCTGGCGACCTGAATGCAGTCCATCAGCCCTGTATTGTTGCCTGCAGGTTCTTTATAGCACCCCAGTTTTTATAGTCTCTTGCAGGCAGAAAATAATCAGAGCTTTGAAGAGTGCCTGCATTTGACATGATAGTGAGCCTTCCCTAACCTTTTGCCCTGTAGAAGTGTTAGACGGGAACTTCCATAATTCCCAGCCAGTATGGCTGATGCTGAAAATATGGGTGTTGTGGTTAAACATATCCGGAGGACACAAGGTTGGGGAACCTTGTGCTGTCTCATTAGCTTATGGAACTGGTTCACAGTCCGCTATGAGTTCTTGGTGTTCTGTAACTGTTCTTTGTCTGGCAGTTTTGTAAAATGGTTGGAAAGCATTTTGATCTGTGGGATTACCAAAAATACGTTCATGATCTTGACATAGCTTTTGTTTTTCATAGGAGATGGAAAATTGTGCTCTGCTATTTTAGACAGTATTATGGACATCACGTCTGATTCCAAGATGATGTTAAATGGTGACAATTCATTTAAATATCCATAATAATAACATAATCAGCTAAAGGGTTAATATATTCTATTGAGGATGGTCATCAAACATTTTTAAAAAATACATTCTCCACCTTTCCAGCCTGCAAAAGGTGGCATTTTCATAAATGTCACAGTGCCATCCATGTAACCATACTTAAATGTCAAAACTGTTGGAAAGCTTTCTTTAAACTTAGCAAAAGAAGCTTATTTTGAGACATGGCTGAGTTTTCAGTGGTGTTTTTCAATCCTGCCACTACCATGAAAGTTAGAAGTATGTGTTGGACCAAAGGGGCATTCAAGGATCCAGTTTGGTATCTTTTTGTGTGAATGCATTTGAGCTAAGTGTGTAGGGTGGAGAGAGAGAGAGAGTGAGAGTTATTTTTTCTGAATTGTCGCTTCACAGGATTTTATAAAGACGATGGTATCAGATTTATATTCTGTTTTCCATATTGTTTCAAAGTGGTAAACATACAGCTTGTGTTACCAAAACAATGATGAAATGTAACAATAAAACTCCACACTACTGCAAGTATCATTGGTTATTGGGCAGATAAGAAATGTAATGAATTAGTAAATAATACTAATCACTGATCAAGCTGCAGTCCTTTACCTTTTTTAGATCTTGTTGTGCAAACTTTCCTTGGTTTGGCCACAAGATTTCACATGGATTCCAAGCAGTACTCATTGCCTAAATGGATCTCTCCAGTTTAGCTGCCCTGTCCTGATCATTTCAAAAGTACTGCTGCACCATTAGATCGAGCAGCTTATGTAAATTCTTGAATTTGTCATGGAAATGGCATTAATTCAAGAGGTTGCTAGGATTTAAATTTTCTTTTATTTTTCAGAGAGAATAATAGAAGACCATGAGATGGTGGTTGAGATCCAGTCAAAATGGGGAATTGATGAAGGCAATAGGTTTTACTTTAGGAAAAATTATGCCAAATATGAGTTCTTCAAAAATCCTGAGGTAAGTTCTTCAGAAACCCTGAGATTAGCTATTAATTTAGTTAAATTGTTATCTCATCTCAAAGTACAGCGTGGACACTCATCAATTAAGACCAGACGAATGTCGAGAAGTGTTGCAACCTGTCACTGCCAGATACATGTGGGCATAATCCTAGGCACTGAGGTTCTGCTCAAATTAATGTTTATGTTGTGGCTAACATGATATGAGCATACAGTAAAAGCAAGGGAAGTGGCAGAAAATTTAGACTCTTTTGCATTCCTTTTTCTTACTTCTTTCTGCCTTGCAGCTCAGCTCCTCTCGTATCCCATTCTTAAATGGAGTATAACAGCCTTGTGAATAGTTTTACAAAGACTTTTACAAAGACCAGCACCTACTTGGCCACTTGGCGTTGTTGCCTCAGACATGGTGCAAGGGCAGTGGTACAGTGAGGAAGGCTGGACGCAGGCACTCATCTGGGCTGCCCCCCGTGCTGTATCCCCACGGAGCCATCAAAACCGCAGGGAACTGCCTTGGCCCACATCACCCAACTGGTTGTAGCTGCATTCATCTCGATCAGGAGTAGGTCTTGACAAAGCTAATGTCTCTAAATTGCCCATGCAAGACCACCCCGCAAGAATTCCTCCTCTGGCCCAAGCTGTTGTAAGCACTGCAACTCAGAGGGAACAGGGATGGTCGAAGGCGATGGAAGGTGACATCCATATCTCCGGTAATCAAGTGCTGCCGGCGAGTCCCTGTGGGCCCTGGCTCCACGATGTCTCGGCTCAAGTGCTGTGGTTACGCAGAAATACTCCCTTTGTAAAGCTACCTTGATGACATGTTGTTCCAAGGACATGTGCCACAAAGGTGACTTGACTAATCTTCCTCTTGGTGTAGCAAAGGTTCCTTTGTTTTTTTTTATTGTATTGTATTTATTACATATGCACCAACCTGATTATTAAGATCTGCTTCAGAAGCCCTTCTTGAAGAACCATCCCTGAAGGAGGTGAAGGGGATGGCAATAGAAAAGGGGCCTTCTTGGTGGTTGTGCCCTGTCTCTGAAATCAGCTCCCCAGAGTAGTTTGCTGGGCTCCATCATTACAATCATTTTGGCACCATGCAAAAACAGTTTTATTCTCCATGCATTTAAATTAATGAATTTAATTGCATTGAATTCATTTTAACCTTTGGTTGATTTAATTTGATGGATGATTTTATCTATTCTGCTGGCTTAGGATAAAGTTTGCTAAGGCAATGGTTGCAGTTGTACAACTGTAATAGATTTTTAAAGTAAATAAATATTATTTATTGTCTAATTTATGTGAGTTGTTTTGCTGTGGGTTGTACACTGCCCAGGGAACCCTGTGTGGACTATTGGGTGTGGTTTATAAACCCAATAAATACATACATAAATTTCTGTATTTCCCAGGAGCCAAAGTTTTTGGGGTGGTTTTCCGTAATGTTTAAGCAGTTTTGTGTCTGAGAAGGTCATTTATCTGAAAAATAAAATGGATCAAGGAGAACAGTAATAGTAACAGTCTAAGAATATAGGGAGTTGTTCAGGCTATTTGTCCATCTGCATCAGCATCTTCCATCTTAGTGGCAGTGGCTTGTTCAGATAGGGAAAAGCCTTTTCCATCATCCTTTTGACCAGAGATGTCGTGGGCTGAACCTTCTGGAACCTTCTGAATGGAATGCAAATGCTCTATCCACTGCACATTGTTGCAGCACCACCTATGTCTTCTGAAAATAGAAGCAGGAAACAAAAATGGCTTGTTGCTGAAATTTGTAAAAATTGCTGCAGAGGTTTAGTCAGGACAAACTTGGCTTCTTTTTGCTTCATTTTTCATTTTGGTACTGTGGCAAGTCTGTGGTGTGGGTGGGGAATTGCCCCCTGGATTGCCTAGAGTCACCTCCCCCTCATGCAAGTAAAGTTCTTATTTTCAGGCAAGGTGGATGCTGATGTTCTTCCTATGAAAGAAGCTGTATAAATGGGGGAGGAAAAGGAAACCAGATCTAGGCATTTTACCTTAATATGGTCTGCATCCAACTAAAACCTTTGACATTTGTGACTCTTCTATCACTCTGCTTTTGCTTCACAGATATTTTTCCCTGAACACCTGGTATCCTTCTCAAATGAAATGAATGGGGCAATGAGCCATCCACAGATACTTCAGGTAACACAGAGGTGCTAAAAGCAGCCTGCTCACAGAAAAGTATCTGAATGTTTCCAGCATTGTCTTGATTGAGAACTGGATAGGGTGACCATGACTCGGAGTTGTTTTAGCCAAGGACTGCTATACTTCCCATTTACCTGGATACACGTGTGTGTTTTAAGACAAGGATGGGATGCTAAGGAAAAATCATAGCAATCTGCCTTCTTGTCCCTTATTGTATGTTCAAGCAGTCTGCTCTACATAGTAATGGTTTAACAAAAGCTTGCATGTTCTTTCACTATTAGAATTAAGTTGAATAAGACCAGCCTTTCTTACTCAGTTTCTTATTTAAAATGCATGATGGAAAGAGGATTCTAAAGGCAGGGTATAAATTGAAAAATAAATAAACAAATAAACAAACTCACAAGTGAAAGAACATTACAGGAATGATTTAAACCATACATTGCTTTTCAAAAAATGAATGCTATGTCTATGCATTGTTGAGGCTAGGATTTGGCCTTGATCTTACACTTGGTTAGATATTTTCAAATATCAAATAAGTAATTGGAACATTTATTGGAGGCATAGCAGAGAAAGACTTGAGTTCTTTACTAAAAAAAAAAAAAAGAAAAGAAAAGAACTGGTTAACTGTGATTAAAAACACAATGAATATGTATAGCACTGTGGACCATCGAGAGAACTTTGACCATTGGGAAGTACAGAAATGTCTAAATAAATAAATAAATACTGTTCTGCAAATTGTTTATTATTATTTATTCATTTATGAATGCTGCTGTTAGTTTTAAAAATTTGTATAATGTATAACATAGTTTCCAGGATATATGGCATGCCATGTTAGGGACTTTGCTGTGCCGAATAACTGCTTTCCCCAGGATGTCTGGGATGCTGACTTTGCAACATTCAAGGCATCAGGGAAAGAGTCATGCTCAGAAACTTCATTTTAAATTCACTCTGGAGAAGAAGCTTGAGAGGTGGTGGGAAATACCACTTGGGTCATCATAAGACCAAGTGTCATGAGCTGACCAAAAGCAGCATCTTGGTGGGCATTCCTGCAAATGAAAATTACCCTGGACTCACTTAGCGCAATGCCAATAGCATTTGGTGACACAACAGATTTCCCCATGAGGGAAGTCACTCTAGTGCGGCATAATTTGTGGTATGCAGTGCCACAAGTCAGGACTACAACAGAATTCAACAGTAGTATCCTATTCTGTAGTAACTAGTAGAGGTCTGTCCTAAGTTTGTAATCCTAGTCAGATAAATGCAATTTTGGGACATCATTGCTTCTATTTAACAACCCCGCTTTATTCCACACAGTTACAAACACACACAGCAAATTAAACGTTCACAGGACAAATAATAACAGAAAAAGGTCAGTTGTGAAAATGTGCTTTCAGTTAAGGTGTGCAGGAGAAATGTTTGAGAGACATGGGTATAAGAATGGGGAACATAAAGCAAGGGTGGATATGGAATCAAATCTGAATCTATTGTGGGAGGAAACATACAAGCAGAGTGAGTCAGAAGGGGCCTCCTGGGCCATCTAGTCTGATCCCTGGCTCCAGCTGGCTCCACACATGACATGAGCCTGCTCTTTTACCCTACCCACTTATGGCATGCAAAATGTTTTAAGACCATAGAGATGATCAGATCCTTCCATAAAATGTTAACTATATAAAAGCCCAGAATGGCATTTTTTTCAATTAAATTAAATAACAGCAGGGGGTTGGATCCAGTGGCATTCATGGCCCCTTCCAATTCTACTATTCTATGTTTCTATGAACCACAGAATTCATGCAGGCTTCTGAGAGGTCATGCTTTTAGCCTGTCAATATGAAGGCCCCCAGAGCTCCCAAATGTACACAAGGAATTGCAAACTAAGGACAAATTCTAGTGGAATTCAAAGAGGATTTTGTTGTTGTTGTTGTTGTTGCCTTTCAGATGTTTTTAAGTTCCAGTGCTTATCCTGAAATTCACAGTTATTTACATGCTAAAGAACAAGGGAAAAAATCTTGGAAAAAGATGTACTTTTTGTTGAGAAGATCTGGTTTATATTTTTCCACTAAGGGCACATCAAAGGTAAGATCGTACAAAAGATGCAGTGGTAGAGATCACTAACCATTAAATCGTATTTGCAACCAACTGGATCTGTTTGTCCTTGGAAGTCTGCAGAGATTTAAAATCAAAGTTCCTGCACCCAATTTTTTTGTTGTCCCAAGAAAGAGGATGAGGGGACAAACCAACTTGCTTTTAGGATTAGAACTCTACTACTGATTCATGAAAACATGAGTCGCTTCTGAAAGTACAGCTATGCTTCTTTCTCCGAGAACTCTTATGAGTGGGCTTGGCCTGTAGCTAAGTAGCAGAGCACTTGACGGGCAAATGTGAAGTGCTAGCTCAGTCCCTGGTGACTCTGATAGCAGGAGTGGGGAAAGAATACACAAGCTCGCAGAGGGCCAGGAAGACTACACCGGGCCAGGTGGAACGGATGTGGGGCTCCTTCTAGCCCTGTTCAGGCATTGGATGCAACAAGTGTGAAGAGAGAGAGAACAGTAGACTGTCCCCTTCCATGGTCATATATGGGGCCTTCCACATGTTGTGAAGAAAAGGGGCTGCAGTATCGGCTGCACAAGATCTGGAATGCTGGAAAATCCGCATTCTGGGAGGCGGTGATGGCAGAGCCATTCATGTCATAAAATCTTCCTCCGTGAGTAGAGGGCAACATACGCAATGCTGGAAGAGGCTGAGCTAATACACACCCCTCCTCATCATGTGTTTGCCATACTGAGGTTGGGACTGCCTGAATAGGGATCAGTTCTCTGAACTTTCTGTCTGCTCACGGTGACGGACAGTCAGGATTCAGATTCTTTGGCACAAATTCCACATGGAGGTAGAATAAGCAGCCAGCCTTTACCATGAAAGGATATCTGTTGCTTGGGTATAGTGGAGCAACTCGTTGCTCTCGTATTCTTACCCAGTCAGGATTTTTGGCAGTTGATTAAATCCTAACTATTATGGTCTGGATATAAATGCAAATGCAGACACTAGAGAAGTTGAGCAGAAGGTTTCTGTCCTCCCATGAGCCTTCCCCAGAGTCTCTTCTGTGTCCCAAGGGCTACACTGGTTGGGGTGAGTGTTGTCATGCTGTGCAGAGGGATAAGGGCAGGGCCACTGAAGTCAAGTGGGCTGCTGCCTCGGAGCTCCCTGGCCCCCATATTTTTGGGGAGGGCTTGCAGCGGATACCAAGTGGAGGTGCAACTTTCTGTCCATCCATTCTCTGGACAGTTCCCTGGGTCCAGTCCCACACGTCAGCCTTCCTCACCTCCTCTCCTGCTGCCTACCCGTCACCAGAATTTTTCCCCCTTGGCTTCAGTGATGCTGCTGGTGGCTTTAACTCCACATCTTACATTCCTGGCATCCATGACCTTGCAAATAGTTTCCAGTGCTGTATTTACCTAGGCAGCACCAAGTTTATTTATTTAAAATATTTATATGCCGTCCTAAATCACAAAAAGCCTCAGGACGGCTCACAACATGAAATAAATAAAATCCCCGGCCCACACTGCTGCAATTAAAAACATAGAAAAAACCATATTAAGACTTATTAAAATATCGCTGAAATGAAAAGTTCTTAACCTGGCGTCGAGAAACAAATGACGGTGCCAGGCAGACCTCTCTGGGGAGTGCATTCCATAGGTGGGGCGCCACTGCAGAGAAGACCCTCCTCTGGGTACTTTGCCTCCTAATGTCTTTAACGGAGGGTTCCCGGAGGAGAGCCTCTGCTGCTGATCTCAAGGGGCGGGAGGGCAAATACGGAAGAAGAGTTGGCCTTGTGAGATCTGCAGTGCCTGCAGAGTTCGGTTGGGCTGCCCCTTGGTGGGAACTAGTAGATAGAAGTCATTGTGCACAGTGCTCTGGAGCATTTCCTGTCCTTTGTTAGTGTGTGCCAACACAAAACTGATGTCTTCCCACTGGTAAATTGCCATGCCCTGCTTAGAGACATACTTCTTTCAAAATTCAGATTTTTTTGCGGGGGGGGGGGTTGGAATTGCTCTGTACGAACGGAGTGATCATTTACCAGTTTGGGGTTAATGGTTCAGCCTTCCCTAGCTGGAGGTCCTCCAGATGTTTTAGACTACAGTTCCCATCATTCCCATGCCTTGGCCAGGCTGCCTAGAGGTAGTGGAAGTTGTAGTCCAAAACATCTAGAGGGCACCAGGTTGGGCAAGGCTGGTCTAACCATTTCAAAAGCCGCACATTAGTGTCATATCGCTTTTTCTTTTAGGAGCCGAGGCACCTGCAGCTTTTCAGCGAATTCAGCAGCAGTGATGTGTACATGTCTTTAACAGGCAAAAAGATATCTGGACTCCCAGCCAGCTTTGGGTTCTGCTTCAAGGTAAATGCTTTGCATTTTGATATCACATAAAACGCCCGTTTTTTTTGTTCTTGGTATAAGCGTCCCCTGTTTGGCAAGATTTTTTTTTTTAAATTTTTGAAACAGCCATTTCTAAACGAGCAAACAAATTGAGGTTCTGCTTGTGAAATAGGAGAATTAGTGGCCTTTATTTCAACAGGTATTGCCTTCAGGATATGAATTAATGCTAAACAATATGCTGTGGCCTTCTAGCCTCACAAAGCAGGAGGAGCCAGAGACCTGAAACAACTTTATGCCGACAGTGAACAAAGTAGGACCTGCTGGATGACAGCCATTCGGTTGCTTAAGGTACAGCTCTTCTCTCTCGTTCATCGTCTTCAGCAGCAATGCTTGCAGCCACTGTATTGCAAGAGCCCTCTCTTTAGTCCCTGGGTAAAGATGGCATTTCCAGCCTCCTGAAGCTCTGTTGTGATGTGACATGGAATGAATGAACGAACTAACGTGGCCAGAGAAAGGAACCACTCGAGCACCAATCTTGCAAAGCGCAGATTAAAATGGAAAATGCAGATTACAATGGGAGGAGGCTAAAGAGCAGCTTTTAAATGGAGAGGGCTAGGAAGATGTGTAAGTGGCTTGAGTGGGTGTCCATGGTAGCTGATCCCAGATCAGTTGCAGTGTGTATCAAATGCCCCTGTGAGACGTGGGGAGGAATTCCCAGATGCAGAGGAGGATCTGGCCCAGGAAGACGTATTCCATAGGAATGGCATTCTAAGTGTGGCGATTCTTCAAAAAGGGGGGGGGGGGGAAATGGGAATTGACAACCATCTAATAATCAGTAATAAGCTATTAATAGCTAAAGTTATTATAAGAAGAATGGGTTAGTCCTTCAGAACTCATTTTCTTGGATGACACGATGGGTCTTTGTCTCAGAGCAGATGTGACTCCTTTGTATTCATTTTACTTTTACATTATGTAGGAAAAGCTCTGAACAATTATGATAGCTGGGGGTGGGGGAGAAGATTTCCTTTACAAAGTGGAAGACTTGTTCAAAGTAAGGAATTAAAAAATGGCATAAACTTTGGCCATTTATATGAATAGTCAAGCAACCCCTCTGTTCATGTAAGGGGTGCAATTTCTGTCAGCTCCCATCTGGGTTTGCAGCCCCCTGCACTGAATCACACAGCATCCACAGCCCAGGTGAGAATTACGAGAAGGAGGCACACTGCTGCCGGTGGAAGAACGAGCCAGCAAAGCCCTGTTCTGAGAATGTTCTTTTCACTTAAGGAAAGTTAGGATCCAGGCTTATTTGATTGGCTGTTACAGGATGCGGAAAGTTTAATCTGATCTCATATTGCTATTCTTAAATCCTTCAGGTACTCTCTGCCATATTAGCATCCTTGTAAAGGAGAAATAGATGCAGGTTAGCTGCTTCAAAGCAACAGACTTTTTCAGGAACAGGCCAAAATAGTTCTACCTGTAAATGTATCCAGCGTATTTGTAGTTGTAAATATTCTTCCTCTTCTGAGCAGGACCACATGGGCAAATCTGTTGAGTACCCAACAATGTATTCTTTGGTTAACTGCTCTTAAGTGCATCTCCTAAAAATAGATTGACTTTTTTTAATTATAAAAGCAATGCTTTTGGTTACACTTGTCTTAGAATAATAATTGACAGTACAACCATCACAGGCTAGTGAGACTTAAAGGAGCTATTTGGTTGACAATTGGATGTGTTTGTGCCAAACTTAAACATGCATCTAAGCTAGATTCAGGGCGAATACTGGAGCAAGGTTTCCAAACTGGGACGGGGAGACACTTAAAACTGACTGTAGAGACAAGGCATTCCTCAGAGCCTTTCCAGTGCATTTGCCGATGGGACCCGGAAGCAAATTGTCAGCCCAACACCGCCTTGTTACTGCCTACAAAATGCAGGAGCATGTTTCCCTTTTCTTGGTCATGTTGGTACGTGAATCAATGGGGAAATGTTCTAGAGCAACTATTTATTATTTATTGGCAAGCTGCATGAACCCTTAGGGGTTTATTTTGGATCTACATGGCCCTGTTTCTTATAATCTGCTTGTCAAAGGACAAGGTAGTCTTGGCTGTCAGTCTCAATTGTTTTTCTAGTTACTGGGGTAAATATCTTTTTTCATTTTTAGAAAAGAAGACTCACTTTCACATGATTTTGAGGGGAAAAAAAACCTTTGCAGTGTGAGGCAAGAAAAATAACTCACTTCTATAAGCCTGTGAAGTGATAAAACATAGATGGAATATTCATTTGGTTTGCTGCTAATTGTTGTGGTTCCATTGATTTTTGTATGTATGATACTGAGTAGCTATTATTTAACACACACATTTTCTCAGCCATGTACAAATACTGAAAGGTGAGGCAGTCCCTGCCTGCAAACTCACAATATAACAGAGACGACACAAAAGCAAAAAGAGAAGGGGGGTGGGGGAGAGGGCAGCAAACCCTAGAGTAGCATCTTTTTCACTGGCTTATGGACAGGGCCAGGTTGGCTGGAGTTCTAACAGGTATTCTGTCTGGCAGGGTGGACAAAGCAAGCCGCCTCTCTGGCCAGCGCAGGAGACCAGGATGCTCTGGAGCTTGCTGGGTTGCTTTTTTCTGGGGGGACGGGGTGCAGCCTCCCTGTAGCCCTGGGTCCCCTGGCTAAATGGGTGAGGCCACACTGCATTGCTTGTCCACTTTCCGGTTCCAGGGCGCTTCTGGATGCTCTAGGCCAACGTTCACCAACCTGCATATGCTAGAGATGTTGGTCATGCTGGCCCTATAGGGCTGATTAAACAATAAATAAATGTATTATTATTTAGTAATAATACATCTTGAGGGTATTGGGTTGGGTTGTGCTCCTCATATTTTCCATAAAGCTCAATATACCTCCCTGCCATGCACAAGTTGAGCAGAACTGATGCATCTTGAAAATGTTATACTTTGTAGTTGAGAGAATTAGCCACTGAGTAGTTTCCTGTCATGTATCTTCTTTCCATAAGATGGTAATACTTGTTTGATTCCTTGTTCACAGTATGGGACGCAGCTGTACCAGAATTACATGCAGCGCTATCAAGGTAGAAGTGGGTGCAGTTCTCTTAACACACCTGTGGTAGGGTCTATTAAAAGCTTTTCCTTTTAAACACTGATACACAGAACCACTACCGCCATATTAACTTGCAGCCAATGGATGTCCTGAAAGGACAACCAGCTGTCTTTTAGTTAATTATGACTGTGTTTTTTACAGCCGAAGGGAGAGAGGCTCTTGCAAAATGTTCTGCCTCACCTCCAAAAAAGCTCAACCAGCCTCGGATACTCTGCAGCCTGCCTTGGCTGGGGAGGGCCGTTCTTTCCTACTCTGCTTTGGGCAGCAAAGGGCCTGGCCCAGGCCCTGCTTCCAGTCTGAAATTCATTTTATGTACCATTCCATTATGTCTGCTAGTCTTTTAGTAGCTGCCATGATCTAAAGAATGACATTAGGCTGGTTTTATGCACGCAAGGGTAACATTGACAGTTCCTCATGCAAAGCCTTTAAGGCAGGAGTGGGAAACCTGTCGCTCTCCAGATGTTGCTAGACTACAGTTTCCATCATTGCTAACCAGTGACTGTAGCCAGTGGGCTTAAGTTCAACAGCTGCCTCGGGTTCCTCACAAAAGGAGACCCATTGTAGCTGTAATAATTTAAGAAATTCTAACATCAATTAGTTACGTGGCCAAGAAGTAGACTCCACCTGTTCATAAGCTAGTAAATGCTTTGCTGCAGCAGCAGGAGTGAAAAAAAGACGAGCTAGTAGCTTCTTCCAAGCATTTGCTTGCCGCTGTTGCGGCCGACGTCAGAAAGCTTTCTATCAGTGTTACACTAATTACTCCAGCATGTCCTCTGTAAACAGTCCAGTAGAAGCATTACAGTATCTAATGGCAGAGCGCATACGATAAGCGCTCTTTCATAAGTGGAATGTCTTTTTCTGATCTTGATAACTGGCATCTCCTTTAGGACATGCTCATTGAAAAAAGAAAAAAATCAATAAAATAAAAACAAGTTAAAAAAAGGCTGTGAGTGGGATGCTTTTCCTTATTCTTAATTTCCTTTCCCACCAGCTAATCAATAGATCCAAATATGATTATTGCTCTGAGAGTTGTTCTGAGAGAATCAGATGCTATTTTTAAAAAGATGATCAAGGTACATTGCAGAATGTTTTTGTTCAATTGATCTCCTTGAATTTGGCACTTGCAAAAGGTGTTGGAGTACGAGGCCATCCTCCCTATCCAGCATGGGCACTGGCTGTGGAGAATAGGAGTTGTAGTCTAACAACCCTCTAGTCAGCATCAGATTCAGGAAAGCTGGCTTCAACCCATCTGAGAATTACTATTTTTCTTCTGTAGAGAAGTGCCTCAGAGAATTCTCTAGTGGCCATGGATTTCACGGGGCATAAATCCAGAGTTATTGAAAACCCCACTGAAGCTCTTTCGGTTGCAGTTGAAGAAGGATTAGCATGGCGGGTATGAAATCTTCATTTAAAAACATTTTCTAATGTTTTTCTAGACCAAAATGCATACCCATTTTTCTTTCTTTCCATGTAGAAGAAAGGGTGCTTACGGCTTGGAACACACAGTAGTCCTGCCACTTTGCAAAATGTTCTGCCAAATATAGGTAATCTTGATTCAAAGGATTTTGTTGGAATGCAATGGCACTGCCTTATACTAAAACCATTCTAGTAAGACATTTCCTTTGTTGGTGATATTTGTAGCCATACACAGTGCACAGCCGTGGTTTCACCATAAGATCTCTAGAGATGAGGCACATCAACTGATTTTGAGACAAGGACTGGTGGATGGGTAAGACTTTTCCTTTCCGTCTTTCTTAAGTGGGCCGGTGCACAACTATTCCGTGATGAATTGTGCTCAGGAGCTGTGATAGGAGTCCAGAAGCTGCCAAAAATAAAAAATGGAGGATGGAACAGCAGTGGTTACATTAAAGGAATGTGGGCATCCTGAAGGTCTCTGCCTATTGCTATGAGACTGTCAGTCTAATTTCAAAAGTCCTTTCAAAAGGCAAGCAAACATACAGTGGAGAGCTGTGCTGCAGGCATATGAGCATAAAAAGAGCCATGCAGGATCCAGTCAAGGGTCCAGCGGTCTGTTCACACAGGAGCCAGCCATCTGCCAATAGCACCCTGCTGCCATGCTCCACAGCCCCCGGTTTGGACAGGTGTTCTGCCTCTGATCTGGAGGTAGCACATTGCTATTTAGCAGGAATCATAGGCATTTTCAGTCTTCTCCTCCATGAATGTGTTCCTTCCCTTTAAAGCCATCCAATTGGGGAAGGAAATCCCGTTGTTAACTGAGTGCCATATGAAGAAGCACAGGCTTTTATTTGTTCTGAATCTCCCACCCACCAGCTTCATGGGATGACCCTGAGTTCTAGTATTAGGAGAAAGGGAGAAAAAACGTCTCTCTCTCCACTTTGTCCACGCCATCTAGAACTTTGTACCCCACTATCAGGTCTCCTCCACTCACCTCTTTTCTAAGTTAACAGTCCCAGATGTAGGAGCTTTCCTCCAAGTGCCTCGATCATTTGGCTGCCCCTTTCTGCACTTTTTCCGACTCTACAATACCTATTTTTGATGCTGTGGCCAGAACTCTACATATTACTCTAACTGTGGTTACACCATAGAGTTGTATAGGGGGACTATGAGTTTTGCTGTTTTATTTTCAATTCCGTTCCTAATTATGCCAGGCATGGAGTTTGCCTTTTTCACCACAGCTGCACAGTGACCATCCACCACAACGTCAAGGTCTCGTTCACGGTCAGTCACTGCTGTCTCAAATTCCATTAGCTTGCACTTGAAGACGAGACTTTTTTCTTTCTTTCTCCAATGTGTAATGCTTTACACTTGCTTGTATCGCCCTGCACTTGCCATTATGGTGCTCGTTCTCCTAGGTTGGAGGGAGCCTTTTGGAGGTCCTCACAGGGCCTTTTTGCTTTAGCCACCCTAAATATCTCGCTGCCATCAGCAAACTTGGCCACTTCATTGCCAGCAGGCAATCCGGCCAGTCCTCGGACAAGAGGGATAAGCCCCTCCTGCACCAGTGCACTGAGAAGGGATCAAGGCAGAGAGAAGGAGGATGGACCCCACCCATTGCTGCTCGGATTGCATTTCCCTGAAGGATGTGGCCTGCAGCAGTAATACAGCGCCTCAGCTCTGCCATAAAGTCACGCCCGTTGTTGGCACATGCTGTCGAGTCTTCCCCAACTCATGGCGACCCTACGAATGAATGCATACCCGCTAAAATGCCCTGCCCTGGGCAGCCCTCTTCTGCTCTTGCACACAAAGCCATGTCTGTCTGGTTCCAGTTTTGTCAGCTGAGTGCATGATACCAGCATGGATTCTATAATCTGGGTTGCCAGCTTTCTGGGCTCTACTCAAAGATACTTTGGGGAAAAGTCATTAGTTCAAATGTCTTACAAAGGGGTGTATGTGTGGAATATTTTGTTGTTAACATATAATGGCCTAAACATTTTGGGCACAGGTTGCCTTCATGATCCCTTCCAGCCCTCATGATCCTCCGAAGGAGCAGTCATGTTGGTGCTGCCTGCCCCTCGCGTTCCCATCCAGAGAAGGCTCTACCATCAGCAAAGCATTCAGTGTTTCAGCAGCTGCACCCCATGAACATTAGATAGGTGCCCTTTGACCTTTAGACCTCCTCATGGCTGGTTTTCTTGAGGTGTGATCCAGCCAGCGATAACACTTACAGGGAACTGATTCTTTTATTGCACTTTATCACTATCCACTTTGATAATGTTATTGAGACATGATATAGAAATCTGTGCAATAAAGAAACTCTGGCTTTGATCTCACTAAATTTGCAAGCTCCTAGAAGCTTCATGCCACCTGAGGGCCGCTTCTGGTTAGCCACATGGCAGTGCCTCTGAGGATGCCATTTTCACTGCCACCGTACAAGCCTGCAGGGGCTGAATTGCCAGAGGGGCCTTATTTGGAAATCCAACCCAGTGAGACGGAACTAAACTTACCAGGGACACATGGGGATCCCCCTCGGGAGAATCAGATGAGGGGCCATCAGCCCTGGGCATTTCTTCAGGAGGCAGTTGGTAGATGCAGGACACATGATTTTCCCTTGTCATTTGAGCCCACCCGTGCATTCTGGTTACTTTTGCAAAAATAGGGTTGGGATGGCACATTTGCTAAAGCAGCATGTTGTGTTCTGCCTTCATTTGGAATACACGGCGAACATTTGGCTCCTGTGTAATTCTGAGGCCACTAGATGGTGTGGTAGAGCTCTGAGATCATAAGAGGGGTTGAGAATGAATGAGTGCCTCTTGCAGACACTTCTTGAGGAGCTATTAGGCAGCTGATACTTAAACAATTGTGGCACAACATCCAAAACCCTGTTTTGCTCTTGGAATAGGGATTTACAATGTCATACCCCCACAAATCCAACAACACTATCAGAATGCTTTCAGAAAATAGAAAACGATCAGTAAATTTAAGCAGTGCCACACATTTCTTAGCTCCTGCTTCTTTCTTTCTAGATTGTTTTTGAATCTTTGCTGGGCAGCTGGTCATTATATCACATGTCCAGCTGGTATCCTCTTATTTTCAAAAGTGGTGGAAGAGGTCATTTTGTGGCTTTTGCAAGCCTATTCTAAAAAGTTGAAATATCTCTTCTAAGGCTTACTTAATGACAGGAATAGCTTTCTATTAATGGACCCTAGTACTTGAGCTTCGTGGGCTTCCTTGTGGTCTGCTACCGTTGGAGTGCAGCTTGGAGATCATCTCCAAAGCTCAATTTGGCTATTGGGTTAGAAGAGGCTCAGTACTAATGAGTTAGATGTGAACACCTGATGTGTTCTTGTGAGCCTACTTTTTGTGCATAAGCATACCGAGAGGTGTTCTTTGTAGGCGCTTGCTTCCCTAGAAATCCTCCTCTGGAGATCCGGGTTCTGCCAAGGACATTTTCCAACTGTTCTGGTGCCTATGATACATTTTAGATGGCTGCCCCTCTCCCCGCACTCCATTTCGTACCTCAGTGCTGGCAATGGGACAGAACCTGAGGACAGCCACCTGGGTCAGAGGGATCAGGGCGGGCCAGGGTGGCGCGCACAGCTCTGGCATGTCGCTGCTGCTTCCTGCACCCCAGCAGCTGCCACTTGGGACTGCTTCATCATGCTGCCCAGTGGTAGGGCCATTCCTGCGGGAAGAGCCAGGAGTGCTCTGAAGTCCTTGGGATGAGAGGACAAGTCTTCAGTGGCCTCCCATAAAGGCATGTGTAGCTCTAGATCTCAGGTCGCCTCCTCCTCTGAAAAAGGTTTTCCTCATATTCAAGTTAAAGGGTTTTATTTTGTAACTCTGCAATCCACTGGGAGGCTTTGTGGCTATGATCACTTACCCATTGTGTTCATCGCTTTTGAGCCTCGCCTCTCTCCCTCGATAGAATTGCTTCTTGGCGTTCTCCTGTCCAGCCACGGACCACTGCAGGGCAGCATGACGGACAGCGGCAAGTGGGCTTCTGTGGCGGGCTCACACCTTCCCAAGGCCCACTGGGAGCTCTGTGGACGGTTTCTCCTTTGTGGCCTGCTTGTTCAGCTATTACTCCCCCTGACCCCGGTGGTCGAGGTGGTGAGGACGAGCGGCAGATGCCCACCTGCCTGCTTTTTGGCTTTCGGCCTGCCAGGCAAGATGGAGATGAGAGCAGTGATGAGAAAGGGGGGGAGCAAGAGCTGCTGGCAACAGTGGTGTGAATAGGTAGGCTCACAGTGGGAAGGGGGCGCTGAGGTGGTCTGACCCAAGGACCCTTCAGCACCTGGAGCCAGCCAGCCTGCTTTCACACATGCATTCGTGTCATTTCCTGAGTCATCATAATTAGTTCCACTGGGAAGATTTGCTCCACGCAAATCTTTGAAATCCCCCTGTTCCCACTCCTTGGTTCTTACTAGTATAACTTCAAAACTTACTAGGAAGTCAGCAATCGCCATACTTTCAAAGTGCTTGATAATGCCTTTTTTCCTTTTCCCCTTAGAATTTTTTTGGTACGGGATAGCCAAAGTAACCCCAAAACTTTTGTGCTGTCATTGAGCCATGGATTAAAAATAAAGCACTTCCAAATTGTGCCAGTAAGTATATTCAGTAAGTAGATGGACTGTTAACACAAAGTGTTCATGTTACTACCGCCAGTGCAGAGGTGAGTATTTTGGTAATTCATGTTGCTTATAAAGATCGAAACCTCTGGTTGTTTGAAAGAGAGATTGATTTTAAAATGAAAAGTAAAAATAATCTCTTGTGAAAGAAAGTTTCCAGTGGGGTATACTAATCTTTCCCTATGCTCTCCAAAGTAACATTGTCCCACATGCCAATATCATTCAGAGATGTGCATGTGTGTTTTTGGCCGGTCAAGATGCAAAACAGCCAAGCACTTGAGTGGATTTAGTAGGTATACATCGCACATAATCTCCAGTTGGCTTTGGAGAATTTGCTTATCTCAAATTTTAAATTTTAAATCAAGTTTTAAATAAAACTAACCAACTGAATAAATATCTCAGCAGTATTTTGCGCATGTACTGGCCATTGTGCATAATGTCCAACAGGAAGTGGGAAATGTGCACACCTCTGCTGCATTCTCTAGGCAACTTGCACAGTTTCTGAGAGCCTTTTTGGCCTCTGCATAGTTCAGTGTTTTGTACATTTCTGGGCAATAAGTCTAGTCACTGAGAAGCACTGGAGATAGTGTGTATTTCAGCACAAATTGGTTGTAATCTTGTAAATTGCTCAGGCAATGCACGTGGTTTCTAAAGACTTAGAGAAATCTATGGAAATCCACAACATAAGACATAAATTTTGTATGTTGTTTGTTCAGTACACTTTGTCTGCAAGTGATGTTCATAAATAACAAGTGGCTGTGAGATTAACCTGAAGAATTATTTCTACACTCTGGTGCCACCTGACTATATATGCATCCAGACTGAAAATTAAGTTGATTTCTGGAATTATAGAAATTCAGGGCTCAAATAGAGTTTTTTTAGTGGGTCAGCTGCTTCCTTTCTCCTTCCACCCTCAGTTGATGGCCTGCTGTACAAATGTGGCAGAACAAGGTGATAGAGTGCAGAAGGGATGGAAGGGCCACATCATAACAGATTGCAAGTGGCAACCATAATTTGGGTTGCTCACCTGTATGAAAAATGGATCATAGTGGGGACCAGCGTGGACTTGTCTTCCCATACCCCCAATGTGCTGGTTTTCTGCTCAGAGATTTTGCCAAGTTCTGAGGAATAACTCAAATCTGGTAGAATCTGTTTGACCTTACTGGTATTTTGTCAAATTATATTAATGAAATAGAAGTCAGGAATGTTTTAAAAGCCAAATCTAAAGTCAGAATGAATACTCCTGCAAAAGACAGCTCTGCTGGAATTTATGTTAACAGTACGATCCTATGTATACCTACTAAATCTAGGTAGGGATGCTTCTTTTTCGTGTGTGCCTGCAGTGGAGATGTTGTCTTGCCTTCGTTTAAATGTGTCAGGGTGGCTAAGCTGTAACATTAACCAGGAGAGCAGGGCAAAAACGCAATAGCAGCAGATAGAAATTCTGCAGGTCCAAATTCCAGTCTGGGAAGTGTCTTGGAGGACTCATTCTGGCAGTTGCTGGGGTTACGGGCACAGGGCAAGGGCAAGGACAGATGTGATACTACCTTGGCCGGTTTCCCATCAAGCATTCAGCACCTAGCTTAGTTGTAAGCAAGCCTGTTCAGGGATAAGCCCTCACACAGCAGCTCTCCTGCCTGGAAAAGCCCAGCTCAGCTGTATGGAAGGAGTTTAATGCTGGACTGCCTTTAAATACCCTGTGGACTATGATCTCTGATGGGGATAACAGCAGAAGCAGCTGGCAGGCAGGACGGGAAGCCTCCGTGGGCTGCATCTGGCCCATGGGCCAGGGGGCCTCCCTCCCTGCTTTAACGCAGTGCATTGCTCCTCCTCCGTTATTTCTCCTCTGGCTACAGGCTTCCATCCATTAACGAGTTAGATCACTGCATTAAGAAACTTTCCAATCTGATGAAAAATCACCCTAATTAAGCGGGCTGGTGTTACTCACTTGCCTTGGCAATGCAGCTTCCAGTGCTGTGCAGGCTGCAGCCCGTTACAAGGAGAGACAGCTATACCCTCGTGCATCCGAGGCAATTATGTGTATGTACCTCCCTCTCCTTGTCAGCACACAATAGGAACAGCCTGCTCAGCTTGGGGTTGCCTCCTCCAGAGGACTGTCAAAAGCAGGATCCTGCTTCAAGCAGCCTGAAAGGAAGCTGTGGAATTGCTGGGGCTATTCTGACCTGGCTGTGTTTTGGAGATCCAGACTCAGCCCAGAAGCTGTGATGGTCTAGTGCCTGCCTAACCATCCCAAAAAAGAGCGGATGGCAGAGGACTCTGGGAACTCTGGTTCATGTTGTTGCTTTTTGTTCTTGCAGTTGGAGGAAGAAGGCAAAGTATTTTATACTTTGGATGATGGCCACACCAGATTTTCTGATCTCATTCAACTCGTGGAGTTCTACCAGCTCAATAAAAGCATCCTTCCTTGCAAGTTAAAGCATTACTGTGCCCGAATTGCACTTTAGCCCAAATGCTTTAGCCTATTTTACCTAAGACTAGTAGAACATGAATGAGGGTGGAATGTTCTGTTTGACCAAACAGTTTCTTAAATGAAGGGAGTGAAGCAAGAAAAAGGCAGTGAATGTAAATTTCAGCTTGCAAAGAAGAACTATAGAAAAATCCAGTATTTTTGTGTTACAGTTGACTAATCGACAGTTGATCTTCCAAAATCAATGTCCAACTGAAATGATGTTACTGTACAAGGCTGCAGTCCTAGGGAGTATTTTTCAAATTACCAATAAATGTCTTTTTCACTAGTGTCCTTTATACCTCTTGAGGTGCCTCCTCTCTTTTCTTCATGTACAATTACCGTGTATCAACAAAATGATAAACAATTCAGATGAGAGGCCAGTCTGTGCCCAGTGTGCAAATAAGAAAGCCAGATTATATGTTGCCCTGCATGTTAGTACTGCTTCAGAGTTTGCTAGCTAAATCTTTAGCAGATTTTTTTGATACGATGAATCAACACAATGTAACCTATGTATTGGCCCCTATTCTTGCAATTCCGTTTTTCTCTTCACCTGAGCCATGATATGCAAACTTTTCATGTGTGTCGTTCACAAGGTTTGTGTACACCTGTGTTGGGCTCTGCATCCTGATCTCAGAGAGCAGTCAGAGAGAAAATATGGTATTCATAGGCTGGAGGTAATGCTCATCATCTTAATTTCATTGCAATTCTGCCTGAGCTCTCTGAGTGGTTCACAAAAGTTGGCATCATAAAGCATAAGAAACTACGAAAAAGTACAATATAAAAATTTTGAAAGCTTAAAACGGTAGTATAATGTCAAAGGAAAATCAGCAGTATACATGAAGCTCTTGATCCAATAAAGATGTTGCATTCCCAAGTAGCACCTACCACTTTTATACCTTCATTGTGGCCTTCAACGTGTTGGCTTGGAATGTTGGAAGTACCTCTGGAGGGCACCAGGCTGAGGAAGGCATTTCACTGTTCAGTCCTGTGCACTCAGCAGTAAGTCTGTGTGGATAAGATCACAGCCTTTTAATTCTTGGGGAACCTGAGACAGAAGGTGATGCGCTGCTCGTGCCCTGCTTGTGGCCTTCCAGCTGACATAAGGAATAAGACTTGGGTCTGGTCCAGCTTGCCTCTTCTTATGTTCTAAGTTAGTAATGTTAATACTGCAGGCATGAGTACTGCTTCTTTCTTCAGTCCTTTATATTTGCATGGAAGATTTTTGCTGCAGTGAAAGACCTAGCTCTGCAAACCATGCTTTTCCTAAAATGGACCAGGCTACACTTTCCATAGAGCTTTTCATGTTAGTAAATATAGTTGTTTTACTTCCTCACTGGTTTTCCTAAAATGAATTATTCAGATAGGCTTGCAAAATTACATAAAAGGGGAACCACAATAAAAATGCCTTGGTGCAAATATGCTAAATCAGAAAATTGACAAAAAGTGCTGACAGCAGAAGAAAGAAAGAAAGAAAGAAAGAAAGAAAGAAAGAAAGAAAGAAAGAAAGAAGGAGAGGAGAGGAGAGAAAGAAAAGAAAGAAAGGAAAAAGAAAGAGAAAGAAAGACAGAAAGAAAGAAAGAAAAAGAAAGAAAGGTACATCCTTAAAAACTGGCCTTTGGATCTGTTTGTCCGTCTGTTTATCATCTGTCTCCTGCTGAGAATGGATTCCATAGCAATAGATCACAATCTTTTTTTAAGAATGATGGAGGGACTGAGAGCATCTAGCATCTCCGTGCTTCAGGCAATTGAATGGGAGGGGACAACACAGCAAAGAAGCTGCCAGTAACATCAAGAAATGCTGAGTGATGGCTGTGGGGAGTTGGTCTCTCTTCTGCGCTGCCTTGTGAGCAGTGTGCATACTTCAGGCACTGGGATAAATGTAAGGGGAGCAGAAGAAACTGACACAAGGGGAGTGATATGAATTAGGCACCGGTGATAATCATGTAAAGCAGCAGGGAAATGTTTCCGCCAAGGGTTGGTCCTTTTGACGTAGCACACAAGATCATTTGATTAATGGATTTATATCCTACCCTTTCCAGGGGGTTGCACTGGGCTATATCTAACTTCACGACTGACTCTTCCCATCCTCCATCCTTCCACCATGTGCAGCCCCTGCATGTGTCCACAAAATCTGTTCTGGAGGATCCCTCCAGAGCAGACTGGGAATGCACTTGGAGGAGAAATCTCCACTGGCAGGTTCTGTCTCCCCCTGGACAAAACAGGTGGTAGGCTAAGATCTACTGGTAGAGCTCCAGGCAAGGGATTCTAACTTCTCTTTCCTCCAATCATAATAATGAAAAAAGTTTGGTTACTCAAAATGAAACTTTCAGGCAAGCCAGGAGTAGGTCCTTGTGTGAAAGGTTCTGGTGTGATCACCAATTCCTTGGCTCACGGGAATCTCGTTCCAGGATGCTTTGTCAAAGCTTGCAGGCCTGAGACACTTTTGCATCTTCAGAGTTGGGATTCGCAGATCTGGTAAAGAAAGACTAACTCCTGCAAGACTGAAGTCTGCCTCCCTTTGCTGGGGTACATCTCCCAGTCTATACTTCCATGGATAGTCATCTCTGGCCTTGTGAGTCCATTTCAATATGATTTCCTATAGTAATATGGGAAATAGGCTGAAACAGTAATAGGCTGGAAATGTTCCAGAACACAACTGGGGATTTCTAGTGGGGAGTGGCACTTGTAACCAGGACCAGAACTGCTTCCCAATTGACTCCAAGACACAGCCATCATTACAACACCGAGATTCACTATGCCTGGGCTCCATTTTCTTTCGTTGGATGATTGGGAATCTCTGAAGGAGCACCACTCTTAACAACCTGCTTGTGCATTACACTCATCAAGCCTCCCTCCATATGTCTACAGATGGAATATGCGTTATGCATGTGCAAGAGAAGGCCACTGGTAGCACCCTGATTTCCAAATGTGTTCCCATGGGAAGGAGACCTGTATTCATTGCAGAATCAGACTGACACCTCTTCATTTGCCCAATCATTAACCTTATTGTTTCTTCTGCTGTTTGAGTGGTTTATTCCGCTCAGTGTCATTATGTTGTCGAATGATTTATTGTATTGTTTTCCAATTTCTGTTACGTACACTGCTGTGAAATCCATTTTGAGATGAAGGTGTGGATTATACACGAACTCAGATAATTACGTTAAAGCTAACCACATTTCAAAACACATTGGATGATAACATTTTGGACTTTCAGTGCTAAAGTCTTAAATGCGGCTCGAATTCAGATGCCAGCACTGCAATTCCATTGATGCCATCTGTTGTTTTATACGAAAAACCAAATGAGTCGGGATAGTTTTTAAAACCCTACACAATATACACATTCAAATAACATATAGCAGCAAAATATGCATTGTTGATTATGAGTTCTCCAGTGCAGTCAGGAGCCTTTACTCTGCTTTCAAATCTCTGTTCTGCGGATTAAATGTGTGTAGAAAATGCAAGATGTCAAATGGAAAAGCTACCTTCTGAGGAATCCCACTCCGTTTAGCCCCATCAAATGCTGCTGCATTGCCTATTTTTAGAATGCGCGAGGAAATACTGCTTTATTTTCCCAAGCTGCTGCTAGAATCTTGTTTGTTTCTCCGTCTTCTGGCGCAGCTATCTTTTCCCTTCAGCCCTGCCATCCCTTCCTCTCCCCGCACGCACCCGAATCCCATCCCACGTTGCAAAAGATTTCTCTGAAGCCACCAAGCCAGGACATAAGAGATATATTTAAATACGCACGCAAGCTTTCAGAGGTTAAACACTTGATGGTCTATGCATAATCAATGTGTACGGTAGACCAATTATGATCGCTTTAATGAAATGCATGAATATTTAAAACTTAATGGATCTGACTTTGTAGCCGGCCTTACAGCCCGCTTTTAAGACATCTGAACCGATGGCCCACGCCGGCCTCCAGAGGGCAGCAGCGCGCTGCGGAATTTCCGGGAGGCGCCCCGTCTCCCTGCTGGCTCCGCGCGCCGGGCTCCGCGCGCCTCCCCAAAACCCCGCGCTCCCCCCCATAAATTATTCACTTCTTCTGTACCAATTAGTTCTACCAGTTGCAAGGTTTGTTATCAAGTTAAGCTTCAAGACAGAACCTGAATTCAACGAACGATTAAATATTAACACAGATGATTAAATATGCAGATACTCTGTGAAGGTTGTTCTTGGAACCATTATATTACCTTTTTAATACTAATGATTTGTATAATTAATTTTTTCTTTCTTCTTCTTCTTAAAAAAAGCCTGAAAGACTTTATAAAAGCAAGTGAGGGGGTGGGATGGGGCAGAGGGCAGGACATTAGAAGAGAAGAGAATGAAAATGCCACTGAGGCAGGGCTCCCAAAGACTGGGACAGCTTGTTCTCATTCAGTGGCCCAAAAGTTAATTACACAAATAATTTGTTTTAGTGGGTCTTAATCAGACGTTTCTCAGATGAGGCACCTTTGGGAAAGATGCAAAGCTTTCCCTGTGTCCAGTACTAATTGTTGCACTCTGATTAGCTGTTTCGATGGCAGTGTGGTTTGCTCTTAGAATTGCACCTGCTTCCCTAGGTGGGCACTGCTTAAGTGGTGCTATTTTTATGTCGCCACTTTAATTTTTGAAGCAACGAGCAGGGAAGCCACACATGCAGAGCAGAAACCAATGAGAGAGAGTATAAAGAAGCTCGAGGGCCAATAGAAAATACTCATTGTTCTCCAACATGATTCAGAGCATGTTTCATCTATTGTTGGGACCACTTGTCCTTTGCTAGATGCATCAAAGAGATAGTTGGAAGTTGCTTCCCTTAATACAGCTGACAAAAGAAGCCCCCAACCAAGAAAAATGCTGAAACACACTGGACAACTATCATTTTCTCTATAGGCACTTGAGACTCCAGTCTGTCTGTCTGTCTGTCTGTCTGTCTGTCTGTCATACTGGTTTCGGGGGTACCACATTACTTTTTACAACTAGAAAAAAAGAGAATGACATAAGGAATAGCAATCTTTA